CCGCTGAGGTATCAGGACTAGCCCCTCACACCCACCTCTACCAGCCGGCTCTAGGGTGACCAGATGTCCCGATTTTATAGGGACTGTTCCGATTTGTGGGTCTTTTTCTTATATAGGCTCCTATAACCCCCTACCCCCGTCCCGATTTTTCACGCTTGCTGTCTGCTCACACTAGCCGGCTCCTTTTTAGCCAGCTGGGTGCCCACGGCACGTGCCCTCAGGGGGAGCAGCCCAGCAGTGCAGGTGGGTAGTTACCCATACACCCCGCTACCAGGATGGAGACTTGGCACTTCCCCCAGTGCCCATGGCCAGCCCGGCCCAGTGGGCAGCCCCATGCCCTCATGTACCTTTGGGTTCGTGTGTGGGCCGCAGCTCCGCTTTGATGGCGCTGGTGACTTTCTTCTCCGGCCTGAAGACTGGCAGAGAGGAGCAAGAGGAAGAGTGACATGCTGGCTGACTCAGGTGGGGGGCGGGATGCTCCCCCCCGGCACCGTCCCTGCTCCCTCAGCCCCCATAGTCCCCAGCCCTGTCTGCCCCAGGCCCTTCTCCGGCTCCATCCACCCGGGAGTCTCGCCACCCCTCAGGAGCCATCCCTGCAGCTGGGCCTGGGCTGGGGTGACACCGGGCCCCCTGGGTTGGGTGCACCTAGCAGACACCCCAGGGAGGTCGATGGGGTTTTGCTTACACCACAGACTCCCCCTGGCTGCCCAGGGGAGAGGAGAACCCGGCCCTGCCCAGGCCCGGCGAGGGGAGCAGAGGTGCTCGCTCAGGGTTGTCAGAAGCTCCCGGGAGGCGAGCAAATCAGCGGCATGGGGCTGACACCCACGCAGCCCAGACTGGTGCATCCGGGGAGCTACAGCAGCACCCAGCACCTGTGTGTGAATGCGCACGAGGGTGTGTGTGTGTGTGTGTGTGCGCGCGCGCGCGTACACTCACGGTGGCCCGAGCTGCCCCTTTGGGCAGAGCTTAGAGCAGGGCTTTTGGCTGGCTTCACGCTGGCTTGGACTCTGCCTGCACTGTCAGCCTCACTGCCCCTGTGCCAAGGGGCACCAGGAGGGGGAGCTGGGCACTGTCCCTTGGGGTGCTCACAGCAGCTGGGATCTCAGAGCCCAGGGTGCCCCCAAAATACACCCAGAGTCTGACCACCAGGGTGGGATGAGCTCAGAGCCGGCCCATCCCCCAGACAGCTCTGAGCACCTCCCCACTGCAGCTACAAACCCCACTCCGCTCGCTGTCACATGCAGCCCACGTTCCCCAGCCAGAGGTGGTTGGTGCCTGCAGTCTGCACTTCCTCTGCCGGCTGCTGCACCAGCACAGTCCCTGCCCCCCCCCCCCACACTAGTTCCTCAGGCCCAAGTCGAGATGGGCCCCCCACTGCAGGTCACGCGGCTCTCCGGCCGACAGCCTCTACCCCAGCCGCCTCCCTCCCGCCCCGGCGCCGCATCCATGCGGAGCGCCCAGCCAGGAAGCCAGCCCCAGCCCCCCCCCACGAGCTCTGGGCAGCTGAGCCCTGGGGACAGGTTACACCACATAACACCAAGGCAGCTCCGCTCCACCGCAGCCCTGCTAGCTCTCACCGGAGCAGCGCTGACCCCAGCTCTGAACCCTGCCTCTGCTAAACCAAGCCCTGACCCCTGAGGGTTCACACAAACCAAAGCCACCCACTGATTTCGTCCCTTTGCCAAGCACCGAGACTGGGGCACCCACCCCACAGCACCCACTCCCCACCCCACAGCACCCACTCCCCACCCCACAGCACCCAGGCCTCCTGCCGGGGCCCCATGCAGGAGCTTGTGCCACAAGGGCAGGGGTGGGCACGAGCCCCTCCAGGCAGACCCAAGGGGAGAGCCCTGGTGATGGAAGCTCTGCCCACCCTGGGGCCAGAACCATCCCAGGTGGTTCAGTCTGCCACTTCTCAACAGATGCCAGCCTGGGGCTGGCCAGCCCCCCGCATCTCCCAGGGGACACTGAGTGGGGCTGAGAGATGGGCTGGGGGGGAGGGGTGCTGAAAGCTGAAAGACGACAACGCTTCAGGAGCCTACAAGCCCCTGACCCAGCAAGAGCCTCCATGACGCAGACTGCCAGGGCCACTGAATCCAGCCCCGACCCCCCCCTCCCAGCCCCGGGGTGCAGCTGCTGTGTTCCCCACCCCAGGATGGCTCCTGTACACCCAGCACATTGGGATCCTCCAGGGTGCTAGAGCGGGAGGGCCCAGGGTTGGCACAGCGAGCGGTCACTCATAGGAGGGACCACTCCCCTCCATACCACTCTGCACCATGCGCATGCCATAGACAGCCCAGAAAGCAGAGGTGACGTGGGTACCTGCCACCCCAGCCACGCACGGGGCCTTCACAAGCTGTTTGCGGGGTTGGGGGGGGCCTGGGCCCAGGCTCCGGACTCCATCCGTCAGCTGCACTCACCGGCCGTCAGCAGGGACCTGCCCGCAGCGTCCCAGAGCACTGCTCCAAGCCAGAATGCGGCTCAGCCCCTGTACCCTGGGCATGTGACGCAGAGGAAACTAGCACCTCGCGGGAAAGGAAGTCACAGATGCAGAGCACCCAGGGCTTTGCCTGGCTCTGCAGCTCAGGAGCCTCTGCCCTCACCGCGGCCCTGCCAGCTCCCCCGCTCGCTGCCTGGCAGCGCTACCCAGAAGCCAGCCAGCCTAGCAGGGGAGTCTTGGTGACCCTGCAGCACGGGCCATGCACAGACTGCTCGGAGCTGCGCTTGGACCCACAGCTGCTCTGTTGATGAGCCCACGTCCAGCCCAGCCTCCGGGGCTGGCAGGACCCCCAAGCAGCCATGCAACAGCACCGGGCGGGGAGCCAGGCAGTGCCAGCCCACGGCCTCCATCGGGTCTGCTTCACCAGGGAGGGGCTCGCAGCCAGGCCCCCCCCCCGTCAGCTTGGACCCTCCCACCGTGGGCTCCTTACTTACTCGACTCCTGGCTCCGCGAGGGCACCACGGCCTTAATCTGCAACAGAGCAGAGCCCGATGAGCAGGAGGGGCACATCCTGTGGCGGCTCCTGGCCATTCTTTGCCCCGTGTTCAGAGCGTCTCGGAGCCGGGCGAGGCCAGCACCGCACAGGGCAGAACGAGGGGCCATCGGCGTCCCTGCAGCTGGGAAGGATTCTCTCTCCTCCCACCCCAGCTCACCCCCAGCCAGACGCGTCCCGGGCTCTTCCCTTCGTAGCTCCAGGGACCGGTGCTGCCCGGGGCAAGCCGCCGGCGGAGGTGAGCCCAGCGGCGGAGCAGGAGCCGGGTACCAGGCTAGGAGGGCAGAACTGAGCTATTTATTACCCTACTACAATTGCAAGCTTGCCATGCGGATTTCCTTGTCCAGCCCCAGAGCCTGCGTGCCCAGCCGGCCCCGGCCCAGGGCAGGAGAGTAACTTCTGGCCCCTGCCCGCATTCCCTGGCCCCTGCCCGCGGCTCTCGCCAGCTGAGCTAAGGGACAGGCATGGACCACCCTTGGGTGTTCCCTCGGGGTCACTGCGCCACCTGCTGGGGGAACCCAGAACACTGCTGTTCCCTCCCCCACTGCAATGGGGCCAGGAGCCATTCGCCCAAGTGAATGGCTGCTCCCGGTGTCAGAGCTCCTGCCCCGAGGCCTGCGCCCCCCGCCCCACACAGGGCTGCTCGCTGGGCCCCCCATGCCAGCCAGCCCAAGGCAGGGGGCCCAACCCTGGCACTCACCTTTGGCACCAGGGGCTGCAGCAGCATCACAAAGTTATCGGGGAAGAGGCCTCTCTTGCCACCACATTCCCCTTCCCACCAGCCCTCCTCCTCCGTCTCCTGCAAGGCAAGCAGGGAGTGCCCAGCTCAGGCCGGGGTGCTACCCACGATCCCCCCCGTA